TATAATTGTATACAATTTGGTGCAAAATATTAAGCCATTGAAATCCAATGAAGTACTTATTGGTAATGAATTTCCGCTATTTTTCAGTACAGCTGTCTATACGTTTGAGGGCATTACTGTCGTAAGTAATCGTTATCAAATAATGCAAAGGGCTATTTTATTTTTGTCTAGATATTTATCAATAGAGTTCGCTATCATAAGAAATTAAATGACAAAATAGATATAAAATATACAATATTTATAAAGGTTTTAATTAAGTTACTTACGCCCTTTTTGCATATTTTTAACTTAATAATAGATATATCATAAAACTAAAAGGGCATATAATTACCTTGTTAAAAGTATATAAACAGAATTTAAACGAACAAAATTATTTATTAAAGTTATCTCATAGTTTTAAAAATTAAATAATTTTTTTATATCTATTTCAATATTTATTTAACCACTATACACACAATTTATGATCATGTTTTACTCGACAGACAATGCCATTATACCGGGCCGTACGAAACAAATACAACTTCTCCAAAGCGACCGGGGTAGTGAATGTGGCGCTCATAATAGTGGTCATACTGTATCTGGGAATTGGTTTACTCGGGTACCTTAAATACGGGGCCGACGTGGGAGATGTGCTAACCCTGTCGCTGCCCAACGAGCCCCTGTATAACAGCGTACTGGTCATGTACTCATGTGTCATATGCGTCTCATACCCGGTTCAGATGTACGTCACACTACAGCTGCTGTGCCCGCGCGTCGAGTACTATCTCCACGAGCTCAATATGAACACGTGTTTAGTCACATTTTGTGATTACCTGCTGCGGGCGGTTATGGTCACAATTACCTGTATGTTATATTTGCATGATGTCTAAATTATATGTATTAATAATATAAATTACATTTATAGTTGCTTTTGCTGCTTTTATACCAAATTTGAGCTTAATCATCTCGCTTGTTGGCGCTGTTTCATGCAGGTAATAATCCAGCTTATATTAATTAACATCATATAATCTAATTAATTTAATGTGATTGAACATTACGCAGTGGAGTGGGCATTATTTTTCCACCAATGTTACACACTATATCATTCTGGGAGCGAGATATAGGTAAAAAACAACAACCTTATTCAATTATTTAATTCACAAAACTAAATTAAACTTCAAATCAAACTAACTAGATCGTCGGGCCAAAGCTATGATCTACATAAGGAATCTCATTGTGTTTATCATTGGCGTACTTGGATTTGCAACAGGCACCTATTTCTCGATTAAAGACATTGTTGACATGTACGACTAAAATTAGACTTGGTATAAAATTGTTGTTATATACAACACAGTTGCCAGAATAATGGTTTTTAAAAATAGTTTTACATAGGGTGATGTTAAACTTTTTATTTTATTATGCGCAAATAATTAAATGAGATCAGTTTAGTAGCGAATGCGCTCAATACAAGTCATTATAACAATACTGTATTGCCATAAAAAAATTGCTGTCATTTTATTGTCATTGAAATTAAAATGATAAAAATTTTGTATTTATTATAACTACTATTTTATATTAAATTTGTTATTAATTATTATGTTATGCTATTTAAATTATTTTTAATGAAATATTTTTTTAATTATAAAATACACCATGTACGCTGTGATGTAACTTATAAATTATTTAGTGTTAATGATTTACTGAAAATTCATCATTGTAATGTATTTTCAAACGTCTAATAAACTGTATTATTGTCCTATTTATCTAAAAAACTTTATGTAATAAAAAAAGTGTGACATATTTTCAAAGCAATA